CACCAAGTAAGCCCAGTAGAAGATTTCAGTGGCCATTCATTTTGTATGACTGTGCTTCTTGTTGCCCCGTTTGCAGCTTGAGCTTCAGAGCTGTTGAAATGTTCAGTGCAGCAGCCCCTGGGAGCCCATTGACAGCAGCACTTCTAATTATGCACAAAAAGGAAACAAATTCTTTTGAAAAAGCAGCACAGTATTCATGAAATACGGAAATAGAACAGCTTTTTTTTTTTTTCTTTTGGAAAAGGAAAGAACTAAATATTCAAAAAATGCCAAGGTTACCAGAGTATAGCATTAGGAAATAGCAGAATGATTTCTCCCTGAACTTGTGACTTAGCTTTTGAGAAAAATATTTTCCCTGAAGAAGCCCAGTTTGGACTTAACCATAGCAACAAGAGAGAAGAAAGTCACTGTTCCTGGTCTATAATGGCATCTCTTTCCACATAGCTTTCTACATCCATTAAGCATTTTACAGTGTAATGTAGGTTAAAGTGAAGTAGTAGACTTGGGATTTCTTGACTTTAAAAAAGATACTTACACTACATGCCATGATATTCTTATAAGAAAGTTTGGGAAATAAAACTTACTTGAAATTAATATTGGAGAGAACTGTTTGGAAAATGTGATTCAGGGAGATTTTTGAAACTAGAAGGATGTAGCCAGTGGGGTTTTGCAGCAATCCCTTCTTTTACCGTTCAGTAGTTTTGTTATGGGTMTGGCAGATAAATACAGTGTGTTTTTACTGAGCTTACAGAAAATACCATGCTAGAATATGCTGCAAATAAGCTGTAGAGGGACAGGATCAGAGTTCAAAATSACCATTACAAAACAGAGAAATGATTGAGGGGGACAGGCAGGGAGGCAAGACTGATTCTTTAAAGAGCCATGTTCTGTACATAGCGTTGCTTWAGTGTGGAATGGTAAATAACTGGTTAACCAGTTGTGAAGAAAAAGCATCCTGGAARTACTATGGATTACAAGCAGAGATGRGTTTAAATATAGTGTTATAAAGTGACAGATATGATTTTGATATGTATAAAGACGTGCATGTGACAGCAYTGGAGAACCACTCTCTAGTGTAAGCATAAGAGAAGCATCGTGTGAGTGTAAGTGAAATATTGTGTGAGTAAAATTTAACAAGTATATAAACCACTAGCAGTTTTCAGAAGAAACCAAGCAAGAATGGTAGAGGCCTTACAAAATAGCATTTCTGAGGAAAGAATGTTGGAAGTATAAATTATCTGGTCTTCCCAGGTATTTGCTCTACGATTAATCACATTAACTATTAGGGGAGCTTAGGACAACCTACTTAGAGGTAAATGTCTAAACAGCAAGTATGTATGCTTATCATTTTCCTRTGGCAATAAAGTTCATAGTTAATTGCATATGACATTTAAAGCTACTTCATTTTGTTGTTTTGCATTTTAATGGATTGTGCTGCAAGACAGGTACAAATATGTGTCATGAAATACCATAAAGATGATGCTTGCAGTACCTATTTAATCCTATTTCTTGGGTTGTTCTCATACCATTCTTAATTTTGAAATATCCCAGAGAGCTTATGACTGAATACATACAGTACTTCAGATCTTGTCACATTATGCAATTTATATAATGGCATTTTAGAATTCTTTATTAATCATCTCATGCTCTTTAAGCAATAAGCAACCTGATTTGAATGCATTTTTGACTAAATAAGTCAGTAACAGTGAGCAACAGCTAGCCTAGGGCTTTCAGGGTTTTGTAGTAATAACCACTTCTCACTCCAGAAATATTTGTGATGAATCTAAATATTATTCCTTGCTGTGATGAAAACCAGCTAAACTAATCTAATGCTAATCTATTTTCTTTGCTCCCAGATCAGTCGCTAATCCATTACAACCTTTTCTTTCATTTTAAATGTAAATAACAGATTGGTAAAATGTTCCTTTCCTTTGTAAAGTCAATACGAATTACACAAAATATCCAGCTCCCAAGCCTGTGGAATGGATGGTTGTTATGCAGTAATATTGTTATCAACTCAGTAATTCTGTGTTTAAGGTTCTTTAAAACTCTTAAATGTGCCTTTAAGTTCAGATTATTATATTCTTTATGTTCCAGCAGTACTTCTACTTAATACTTCACTAAAGATAAAACATTTTTTTTCCTAGAAAAAGAACGCAGAGGGTAGAAACTTCCTGAATGTTTTGAACAAGGAGAATGGATACCAAAAAAATAAAATAAAAAAGCGACTTTCAAACAATGTAATTACCTTATTTTGCGACTCCCTTAGTCCATGACTGGTAGACTCACCAGTTCTAGTGTAGGCCTCTTGCTTCTTGTAAACTTAAAGAATATTTTGTTGTTTATTTTTAAATCTTTTAATGTTTGTTCTTGGAAACTTACTATTGCTGTTTGCAATTTCCTCTTATTTAACGCCTGCTAAAGTTTAAATGCCTGTTTATTGGCTTCCCTAAGATCATGTTTCCAAGATTTGAAGGACTTCTGTTTGGTTGAAATAGATTCTTGAACCTTGCCATTCATCCGGTTTAGCTGAATCCTGCCTTCTCGGTTCTCTTGCTTGCACAGTGCACAGAGACAGCTCCTTCTGAAGTAGCTTTGCTACTGCCTTCTTACACACTTTTGGGTTTTTGTGACAAATCTAAGCTTGCTACATCTGTGAATTCCACTTTATTACTTACTTTGTGCCACAAAAAAACACATCTACAACTCCAAGTCTTCTGTAGCCACAGTAGACCAGATCTGTCACTTGAAAAGATCATCACTGAGGGTAGCCAGGCTGTTCTCCACGTCCTACCTTCCTTCTGACACTAAGCAGTGCTTTTGACAACCAGATAGCTCCATTTATAGGTGGGATTTATGGGTGTTAAAGCCATATTTATCATATTAAAAATGGTAATAGATCTGAAATTGATGCAGTACCTACATTCTTTATTACATTTCATGCTTCTCATTTATGCTTTCATTAACAATTTTGAAATGTGTAGTTTTCCTAAAATTCATGTTCTTCATGTATAGTAGCATCTGGAGCTGAAGAGAGAGACCAATATGAGGACTTGACCTCAGCAATGCTGCAGATGGGCAATCCTCTGCTGGATATGCCACCTATCCCATGGGCTTAGATGACTTACTTGACAGACACAAAACTGTATGCAGGCCCCTTGRTCTAGTAGAATAGGATCACACTGGTAGATTTTTGCAGAATTTTTTGAATTGTCCAAATAATGTCACATCTGCAACCCTTTCTTCTTGTTTGGGAAAGGAAGAACCTTGCACTATTTGATATTTAATTGAAAAAGACAGAGCTCAGCAGGCATATGACTAACAGAATTGCATCTTCTTTGATTGGCTTGGAAGTAGATACTACTTTCTAGGATCTTTTTTTCACTTAAGAGCACTGGTTTTGTCTTYTAACATTTGCTAGCTAGAGTCATCAGTCATCTCTCCAGTGGCATTCTGTTTGCTTAGAGCATTGCTGGAATTTATCCAGCTCCATGTTTTGATCACCACCAAAGACCTGAGTGATTACCATTTCCTCCCCTATCACACATTGTGAGTGAATTACCATTAGCAGTATCAGTTCCAACACTACCTTTAACTCTTTGTGTGCAAAACTTCAGTTTTCTCCTGTGTTTTAGGAGAGGAATCAGTGTTTGAGTATTTCAGGCAGATTAAGACCTGTAAACTTAAATGGTTTAAGCAAATGACTATTCACGGTCTCTGCTGATTTTACAAATACAGAAGAAAGGAGGCACAAAATATTGTCCTTCATTCCCAGGTTGTGACTGTCTCTGTCAGCCAACATAGAGGCTTCAGATTCAGACAACAGGAAAGGCATCCTCCCTTTATTTGCACAATAAGATGATTGGGCAGGAAAGATGAAAAAGGAATTGCTTATTCTTTGGATCTCTGTGTTTCTTCATCAGAGCACTGAGGTCAGGAGTGGATGGCCCTTATTAAAACCATCTAAGTCTCTGAACACCCTCTAAAGAACCCGTGACTATCTGTGGACAAAGAGCAACATTGATTAGCATTTTGGAGCTCTTCATTTTACAGTGGAACATCTGTGGGCCTCATTCTAGCAGTAATTTGCAACCTAATATGTATGTGCTAGTTCAAGCCCGAGTTATAGRCAGTGAACTGAAATTTCTACCTGAGCCTTGTTAGGTTTTGCTGTAACGGAAGTCAAGCTAGATGGACACAGTATAATCCTAATGGGTCAAAATATCTAAATTTATGAATATTTAGGCATCCACGCAAACTGAATGAATATTTAGGCATCCACGTCATTCTCTAACATAAGTAACATCTGCCAGAGCTCAACACTTCACTTTCAGTTAAGTGTCCAAATGTTGGATTCAGTCATTTATGTTTCTGAAAGGTGATTGTTAATACCAAGTGACAATAAATTGCACTGAACCATTAGTATTACATTGCATTCCAGCAAGGTAAGACTTGCACAATCACTTTCCARTCCTGTTTGGTAGGATCCTATGCAGGTCTGCAGGTTTTCACAAATTGTACTTGCCCTTATTTTTATTGTCAGGTCATCTGAAATATTTGCATATTAAAATACCAGTAATAATTTAATGATTATTAGTATCCATTCTTGCAAACATTTCATGTGTGATTTGTCATCATTATCTTTGTTGTTGTAAAAGTACCTGGTGTAATGACCAAAGTTTCTTCTATAGTCAGTGCTAGAGAGAGTCAGATGCAGCACCAGCACCTGATTCAAAGTTACGCAAGATGGACAGATAAAATCATGTTCCAAAGGTGTCTTTCTCTTTTTATTAGCCATGTAAGGAGCATGGGTGACTTGTTTTTGTGTGTCTGACTTTTTGGTAACTAATTTAGATAAGTTTACCATTTCTACCACTGAGATTCTTTTCACTAGGATTTCAAGAGGATAAATTTTGTGATTTCATTGCCTATTTGCAAGACTGGTCTAGTTTGTAAATGATTTGTTATATACTTACCCTGCCTTTTTTTTTTTTTTGCAGCAAATATCTTGTATATGGCAAGCCAAGAAATGATGAAGGTTGTGGAGAGAGACAGTACAACTATAAAGCAAAATTTAAAGAAGGTAACTACTTGATCTTCAGGGTTTTCAGGGGAAGTCCAGTTACATTGGGGAATGTATTACAGTAGCTCTGTGACTGAAGGTGGAATCTGATTCAAGATATTTTCATTAGATAATTATGAGAACCTGATGACTTACTTTTTCCATGGCATCAAAACATAATATAGAGGAGTCCACAAGATAACTGTGGTTCCACAGTTCCAGTCATTAGATCCTAGTRGAAGATACACATACAAAAAGCACTCCTAGGAGATTGTAGCTACTGCTCTACTGGTGAACTAGACATTCCAGGGCCTTGGTTGTCTATATAGATTTATTGTTGGAGCAGATCCTGGTACTGTTTTGGTGAGGATCAAGTAGCATTCTCACAATCAGTTCTCATCCATCGTTCCGGAGTTAGCACAGGCCAGGAACCACTCCTAACTGGAAGCTTTGGTGTGGTCACCCTGTTTCAGAGCCTGAGAGAGTTTAGTAATATAGATGTGGTCAGACCTCTCCATATGTCCTAAAAGCCAGAAAATGGTCATATTTAATATACTACTATTGATGTAGACTCTGTGTGAAAAGATAGCAAGTTTAGTATGTATAATTCTGCTGTGTTCCCTTCCTTCCCTCCGTTCTTTGTATTATCCCTGTCTTTTTAGTGGGAGAAAGATTCCAGCACTTTACACTGGCAGAGATTTTCCTTGGAGAACAGAATTTTCTAGGACAGAGGTCTTTTACATCTCTGTAAAATTATTTTGTGCCTTTTAAATAGATACAGAACAAAGTTCACTCAATAAATCATTCATTCTTCTTTTGGCTGAAAATAGATTTCTTTTACTTAACCCATTTGCCTGCTCTGGACTTCTAAAGGTATCTTCACATGTACGTAGTTTGTGAGGGATTAAAAAAAAAAATTAAAAAGCCCTCACTACAGGTAGTTCATGGTGTGGGCTCAGTGCTATTTGCCTGTGTTTTAATAGTTACTATTCTCAGTTGTTTGGCTATTGTAAATTAAAACTTCATATTGTCAAAGCATATTTCAGAAATAAATTTTAAAAATTAATTAATTTTTAAAATGAATTAAAGTAACTGATGGGACTACTACACAGCACTAGGCATACATAGTTTTTTAGATTTTTGTTGCAGAGCTTTTTAGATTTTTGTTCACAGTTCTCCATTTTAGGAAGAATCTCAGCAAAGAAAATTAATGGTGAGTCTTCTTCTCTTAAATAACTTAGTGAAATTATGTGCATCCAAGGTACATGCAGGAGACATGGCCAAAGATATGACAGGAGACAAGCAAAGGGGTCCATCCAGGAGACCAGCTGACCACAGTGTAAGTCTGAGGTCCACCTAGGAGATAGGRTTGGAGACACTTCAGGTGCTTTGGGAAATTTTGCTTTTAGTCACAAGCCCTTGCACCTAAAAACCTCACTGGATCAGGACAATAGTGCTGGAATTGGGTATAGTTCCAGTGACTTCAGAAGGACTGCTGTGGTGCTTCAAGTTCCAGACATAACTTGKTTTTTTTCTGCTGAATTAAGAAAAATAGCCAATTGTAGGAGTTCGCAAGTGTCTTAGTCCACTTCATCTATGCTTTTTGTGACAGTGTCAATCTAAGCATAGCCTTGGTGCAAGAGAACTTTTAAAAACTTCATTTTATTGATTCTTCTATGTCCTCGTACTTCTAAAGGTGCAAATGTACTCCAGAAAATGAAAAGTTGAGACAAGCTTATGAGCAGTTAGCTGACTGAAGAAAAAGCAGATATAAAAGTAAAGTTAAATGCTTCCCTTTTTTCATTCCTCAAGTAATTTCTGGGAATGTAGGAATTAAGGAAGAATTTTTGAGTTGGCATTATGTTAAATTTGAAGTGCATCRATAATAAAAATGGTCTTAGCTCATAAAGGTTGGAAGTTTATGAAAACAGGAACTATAGTCCAAGCTGCTATAGAACTGGCAAGTTGTCCCCTCAAAAAATTTAGACTGTTTAGTAGTCACTGTGATCATATGCTAAAGGCCAATCTTAACACCTGACTTTGCCAGCTGCTGTGGAGTAGAAAAGTTATTTCTGGATCATATTAGCATTCTGTGATCTGTAAAGAAGGAAGAAGACAGTAAATTATTCCATTTTTCCAAGTCCAGGTTTAACTATACTTAGGGACAAACAGAAATTTGATCTTCAGATCCCAAATTCTTAATATAACAATGCTAGTTGCTCAGGTTTATATTGAAAGAATGAGAACTGGAATATAATTTGGGTAATCAGTTGAGGTTTTTCACCTACAGCCTTTTAAATACAGAAGTTATGCACATTAAATAGCGATGTAATTGTATGAAGAAAAGCAAGATCTATCTTCTGACAAAATAATATAAAATAGAGCATTTTAAATAGAACTCTGAAGCTATTCATCTAGATCAAACAGTACATGAACATGGCCTCCTTAATGTAATAACACAGAGAGTAGTGATAAATCATAAAATTAAATAAGTAAGGTAGGGATATTGATATAAAACTTGGTCAGCTAATGGTGGTTAATTGTCATTAGCTGATTATGTCTAAGCCAGCTAAGCTTATGTTCTTTAACTGTAATAACACCAACTCCCTTTCCTAAGAGATACTGGAGGGAAAAATATTACTGTACTGGAGGAAATTTATTGTGATTCTTGCATTAAAGGAAGTGGGTGTTATTCTGTATTCATAAAAGATGGATCAGCATTAAGTATCACAGACAAATGAAATAAAAACAAGAAAGAGGGAAAATGGCTGTATGAGGCTTTCACTAGCATGCCCATGATGGAGAGTGATATTTCCATATAGCAGCTTCATGCAGTATTTAGCTTTTGGAGTCTGTGTTATGCCACACTCATTGCCTTATTTTCGGGCTCAGCTTTAAGCTTTACTGACTTCTTTTTTTTAGCAGGTAAAATTGTGACTCGGTTGTGATAAAAAGACTTTTGCATTAAAGGCTAAAACAACAAGAACAATGACAAATCCCTGGGATTTTGTATTTATTGCAAGGCATTTTGTCCATTGCTTCATGTATAATGTGTAGTAGTCCCTATTTTAAATACAGGATCTGCTCCAAAGTCCATCTAAGTCAATAGGAAAGCTCCCATATCCCCCAGCAAGGCTTGGATCTGTTTCGCAGTGAACTCTGTAGTTCTTCATAATTTCTTAAGATCCAGATTTATCCTCTCCAGTGAGAAAAAATAATTACTTCTTTGGTTAGCATGCTAGCATGTTTCTTCAACTTAGATTTTTCACTGATGTTGTATGGCTGGTGTATTTACTGTGTAAAGAAAACAACAGGAAATAGCTGAAGTAAAGATACAAAGATAAAGAATACCTCTTACCTGAGAAGCAAATTTTTTTAACAGAACAGGGGAGAAAAAACATACTGAAAGCTTTATGGATACATGAAACTATTTGCTTTTCAATTGTGGAATTCATTACTGTAGGTGGCCTAAAACTTGGGCTGTAGATGGTTGGGTGCAGAAGAAATTCTCTTTTAAAACAATACAAATGAATGAACTAAATTTTCCTTTTCCTGCTTATTTCAGTAATAAATTTAGAATTTAAAGCAATGTAAATTTAAGTCTTGGCAGTAATACCATAGAAAATGTGTTACCCGGAGCATCATATAAACAATGATATCATGAGATTTAGAGTTAAAATTGCAAAAATTACTTTTTTTCACAGAGAATGAAGTGCTAGCTTTTTCTTTTTAAAAATGGTTGTCTTTACTAAAGAAAACTTTAAAATCTGAGCAAGCAAGAACTCTTTTGACCCTTGAAATAGCTGTTTTGATGTTGCCCAGGGTTTGGGT